CTTTTATATATATATATATATCCTCCTCTCTATTTGACGGCAAATTAGATGACCTTATTGAGTTCCGACTTCCAATGTCCAACCTGTTATTGTACTTGTTCTAGCTATCATGGCGAAGGGAAACCCATGCCCATACATGCATGAATAATCTGAAAATCATACAGTTACTTAGGTGAGTATGTCACTAGCAATCCTGCCAAGTTCTCAGAGATCCCCTATCCTTGTTAATACATTAAGCAACGTGAATTGCACGTGAGAAAGTGGGGAGGTTGATGAGATATTGTCCCATTGTCTCCCATTTCTTTGAAAATAGCCTTGGCCCTGCTGCTTATGTCTTCCTGATATTAAGACACTTGCATGTGGAGCTTTAGTTGGACCTTTCTCTTCTTCACGAAGTCCTTTGTATCTGCTCTTTCCTTTCCTGTTCACTCTCACATGCATGCTACAGAATCATACTTTTATGCGTGCTGCATAACCTTCGCATATGAGAGATTGTTATCCAAAGTTTTTCATCATAGCATAGAACTAAATTTCCAAATTCATTCGCATTCATAGTGAGGACTATTTATCTATCCACAGTTTCTACCTCTCATATGAGGAAACTCCATATCTGAATAATCTTCATTCAAGCATAGTTATTCCTTGACGAATGAATTCTGCTATGACTTGATGAGCACAAATGATGAAAAGCACTAAGGATACGTGATGTTTACACAAATTGGTGAGTTGTTGATTCACATGTTAGGGCAACTGAGGAAAACCATATCATGTTAAAAGGCATGCCAAGTCATTGTCAGAAATTGTTATACAAAGGAGACAGACCCTTTAACAATGAACATGAAAACAACCCCCATGCATGGTAGCCCATCTATTCAAAGGTTCTGATGTGGAACCTTTCTTGATTGTCATTTAAGAGTGTGAAGATGCTTTTCATTCCATTGAGTACCTTCGAAGACATTTGAAACTTATTTTTTTTCATTAACATAGTACATATCAAACACATCTAGCTAGCTAATAAATCAATCTTCTCAGCTTCTTTTAAGAGAATAATTGGAGTCTTAGCACAGCTATTAAATGGGTTTCTTCCCACATTATTACCCTATTGAATGATAAGTTTTTAGATAGCATTTTCCTTGTAGACATATAAATTCACTAAAAATAATAATAATTTGTAATTGGTATTGCGGTATAAAGTATTTTTTAAAAGTATTTTTTGTTTGTAAATGATTTAAAATATCTTTTTTTTTTTTTTTTTTTTTTAATATAAACACATTAAAACTATCAAAAAGCATTAAAAAAACATCAATTTATTGTTTTTTTAATGTAAAATATATTTTTTAAAAATATCTAAAAATAAAAACTACCATAATCCCACACACTACATTTATTTCTCAAACCAAACACGTTTTTGTCCGACAGTATTAACCAAACACAGCTTTAGCCTCCCATAACTGAGATATAACATGTAGGGAAAAAAAAAACTCATCTTAAGAGAAGTTTTATCCCACATCAGAAATTCAGAATCATCTGTGCATTTCTGGTTCTTTATTCAAATTTAATAGCATCATTACATTATGGCGACTAAATATATTCAAGAACGTAAATTAGAAATTTTGCAGCAAAACTCTGCTATGACAGACTTTTTACAGTATAATCATTTCTTTTCTCTCACCCGGATGGAATAAGAATCAGCATCCTCACATGAGAATGCTCAGAAGCCTTTACTAAAATACAACTTCATTCTTATTATTAAACAACAAGATTACCTGTGATGAACGGCGTTTATTCATTAAAGACATTACTAAACCTGCTCCACCTGCTAAATAATCATGCATTTGTTATCCATGAATCACCCTCCTCTGCAAAGTGCACGTGCTTTCTGTAAGGGAACATCTCATATTAAAACACCATGAAATAGGCTGTCCCTGCAGCGAAGTATACAAGCATCACAAAGCTTTATGTGTTGAGCCTTGGACCATCAATTTGCTTCAATGGAAGACAAGCATAGAAGTACTGGATTTGAAGACTGATAAACGCATGTAAATTGTACTTGATATGATCCGTTAAGTTTCTATTTATGTAATCAAATAAAATTCCAAGCTTTAACAGTCAAGGCTTCCTCTTACAACAATCTGTGTGTTTGGAAGGCAACCTAATAAAGATGGTAATTTATACATATAATTTGGCAGCTTTTAGAATAAAACTGGCTGTGAGGATGCACAGAGTGGTCTCTGTGTGTTTGGATTTGTGAAGGCATCATAAACTACTGACTACAGCATGTGAGCACCGCAAACATTGCTTCCCTTGAAACAGTAATATATTAGTCTTTTCCCAATTTTTATTTCGTTCTTTGGAAAACAAGACAAATTGTTCATTAAAAGAAGTAAACTAAAGTGGAAATGGTAGCTAGCGTAGTGAAATAATTAATTTTACTAATAGTTATCTGATCGAAGACAACATATCATCTTAGCAACAGCTCTATGGATCAGTGCTGCCTAGGATCGTGCATATAATACTGGAGCCTCATCAACTAATTAATTTCACTAACCCCTTAATATATACTCTTTTTTTCTCTGTATTTCTTGGCATCATTTGTAGCTTTATTCTTTTCATCACAATCTTCATTCACATGTACAATATTTGTTCTTGTGAATAGCATCCTGCACCAAAGCATACAGAAAACTCGAGGAATTCTCAGAAAAAAAGTTATTAGTTTGAACTTCTTTTTTTCCTTCTTGGAATAAGAATCCCTTTTTTCCTCCATAAACCAAATCTGACCCAGCTAAATATCAAACAAGTTAGTCGCTTGCACGTTCAGGATAATCCAGTGAACCATTAGAAAGACAGTTCAAACTCTGGATGTGGGGGCAAACCATGGCGGGCTCACCTCCAAAGAAGATGTGATAAAGTTAGCTTCTTCTAGCTAGGATTAAAAAAGTCAAACAAAATTTTGTAGTGCTAGAAAATGATGTTTTTGATGACGCTGCTAAATGAATGGGTCCTGAATGGTGCGTACTGGTGGTTTTAAATTTCTCGAAGTTCTAAGTTGTGGAAACTCATGCAAAAAAATATTAATAAATCGCCAACTGGATTTCAAGTTTCCAAAAACGGTGTGAAAAATCTGTTAACGAATCTGCCTTGCTTTCTAACATTCTCTGGAATTGGCTAATCCCCAACCCACTGGCTATACCGAGCAAGATTTTTCACTGAAATTCATGTTCAATACATTGGTAGTAATAATATTGAGAGGACATAACGGCTTAACACAAGAAATATGAGATTCAAAACCTGACTAGAACTGGGTTTTTTTAGTTAAATTATACTAGATATATATTGACTTAACAAAACCCAGTTAAATTGATTAAACCCTGTTGAATTATAAATCATGTCAACATCAAGAACTTTATTTTATTAAAAATAGTTAATTCAAGTTAACATTATGATCCGTGAATTAACTTTTTATCCTCGTAACTTAGATCCTATCTTAAATCAGTGATCGATAATTCTCACAACTGTCACAAATAGTCACTTGACGAATTTTACTTGATTTCATCCCAAGATTGCACAAACTCTAGCTACATTATTCATGCTTGCTTACATGCATATATCTCTTGATTCGCTCGTTTTTTTAAGAGACTCATTCTTTAATATACATATATATATAGTGGAAATATTAAAAAAAAAATAGGGTAATAAAAAAGGAGCACTAATATTGTGTTCAAAGTAAAAAGGCTAGCTTGGAGACCTACCACCTAGAGAGATGTTAAGATGTCAATAAAAAGTGAAAAGGTCAAATGATAACTCGAGTTGTCACATGGTTTGCAAGTTTTCTTAAACAGCACACAAATTTGAGTATCTTGAGTCCATTCAGCTTCAATCGCAAACCTTACCTTACCTCGCCCCACATCTCCACTCTTATTCGACGGGTTCATATGATAAAGTTGCACATACATGGTTGAAACATCTAGGCACGAGTTACTTTAATGGTGGTGGTGGTGGTGGTTGCGATGGTGGTTGCCCTTGTATCGTAAAACATGAAATGTCACGCCAGGTTGATCAGCAGAGAGGAGGAGCCTTTCCGAGAGTCAACATCTCTCTTGTCTTTGGGATGCTCACTTGCCCCATAGAGGAAGGAGATCTCAAAAGATGTATTTGTTCAAGAATTTCTTGCTTTAAAGGGTTGAAAAAATGAGGTAGCCATAGCTAGCTAGCTAGCAAGCTCTTAAACGACACGTTACCAACAAAGAGAACATCCATGTCAAGGAGGTCATAATCTCAGAAAAATTGTTCGAGAGAAGACGATCAATTGTTTCATATGACATGCCATTGTAACAACCTGATTTACCTTTCTTTAAGGGAACAATTAAGGATGTTCACGTTCACCACGCAATGTGGCACCATTTATGGTTGTCCATATCTTGAGTAATTAACTCAAAAAAAAAAAAAAACATTTGAATTCACGAACACTCCATTCTTTGATTGTTTGCTTTTACATACTCACTCTTTCTTCTTCTTTTGGAGGGCTAAAGGTTAATTATTCTGTCCTGACTTAGTGTAAGTGTGGTGATTAATTATCAATTGTAAGGAGCAAGTCAAAGCAAGAACACATTAATGACCAAATTGAATACCTTATAGTAGTAATCTTTTCTTCTTCTTTTTTAATTTTTTTCACGTGGAAGGAAAATTTGAGTCCAGGACTTATAATTTTTTAAAAAAAATAAAAAGGGGATGGTTGAGAAAAAAAGGGGTTTTATAGATGGAATAAGAATTGGATAATTAAAAATTATAACAGGAAATTCTCTTATGATGAATTGAAATTATAGCGATGGATAAAAGGGAAAAATCTAAGTAATGATTGAGTTTAATTCAAAAAGAAATTACTTGAATTATGGAAAAATTCAGTTCCCAAATTAAAGAGTTTTGTCAATTTTAGCAAAGAAAAGGAAAAACTCCAACAAAATATAATTAACTAAAGAAATTGAAGGGGAAAAAAAAAAGAGTTAGGGAAAATTAGCCCCTACCACATAAGAAAAAAATAACGAAATTCACTAATGAATTTCGCCACTAATTAAACTCTCAAGACCCCACCTGATCATAAACTGCACCCCTACTGCTAGATCATCTGCCTAAAATCGGGTCCCACATGTTGGTGAATCAAGTAATCGCCACCACCGTTGGATACATCAAACACCATATTCTGATGGTGATGAAGATATTGCTGGTGCTGGTGTTGCTGCTGAGCCCTTACCATCTCCTTCTGTCGCCTTAGCTCAAGCACCTTACGGTGCGAATTTGAGTGTTTCGTAAGCATAAACGTTGGGCTAGCTGCTGGCCGGTACTCAGGTACAAGCCGCCCCGATTTGTACCTTACACCACACGCATTGCAAAGCGTCTTAGGGCCCATGGGTCCAGTCCGCCACTGCGGCGTCTTATCCGTCGCACAATGCAGGCACTTGCGACCATCACCACCTTCAACATCACCGTCCCTTTTCTTCAGCCCCACCGCACCCTTAATTGTCTTTTTCCCAGAATTGGGATGTTGGGTCGAGCCAGGAATAATTTCAGGCTCGGATGATGAAGTCGTAGGCGAGAGTACGAGAAGCCGTGAGGCCCAATTGCCTGGAGCTGCCCGAGACCGTTTGCTCCGAGCCTTAGCTGGGACTGCCATTTCAGGATTGAACATTGTGTTGTTGTTACAAATATTGGAGACATTGCCATTGTTATTGTCATCAGTTTGGAATTGTCGAGTCTCGGATGATTCGTCAGGCCGAGCTTTCATGCCGGAAATAAGCTGAAGCCTTTGCAAGTCTTCGCTGGAAAAGGATTCCTCCACAAAATTCGACAGCCATTCTAGCTCCGCTAAATCATCATACTGAACATAAGAATAGAAACCATAATTAGCAAATTAATGGGATTCTTTTACCCTCCTCTTGCACAATTCCTTCAATAAAACAAAAGGGAAGAAGAAAAAAAGGAGAGTCAATGTCGTCATGCGTGAAAGTAAGGAATTACCGGCACACAAAGCTCGCTGCCAAGATGAACGTCATGATGAGAGAAATTATTGGTGTAGTGGGACCCAATATCGCCGTTAAAGCCTGAAGGCTCACAGCCCGAGAAAGAAGAGGAATTGCAGCTATCAACGAAAGTCACAGTGGAAGAGTCCGTGGAGTTGGTGGTGGGAGTGACGATATTGTTATTGCTAGGGTCAGTTACCATGGCATCCTCATCTTCATTGGAGAAGTCCAAAAGGTCTTCAACAATGAAATGATCACCACCACCAATGGGCTTATTAGAGTCCAGAGAATGGTGCTTTTCATTACTAGTGAATTGTGAGCTGCAAAACCCAGTTGTCCCATACAATTCCGGCGCTTCCATGGTCTAATATTCTGGCTCTTCCTTTGTCGTTTAAGACAGATTAAAGAGGGTCAAGAATTAAGGTTAAGAGCTAGAATGTTGTGGTTGTGTAAGGAAAATGGAAACGTTAATTTGTGCTGTGTAGAGAGACAGAGAGAGTTGTTGTTGTGGTGGTTTTTGATGAGAGAGAGAGGGTTTATTTGCGTTTGAAGGGGACAGCTAAAATGGAGGACTGAGGATTTTGACGAGGACAAAATCAAAGATTTTGGTTGCGGAGAAGGGGAGGAAAAAGTGAAAAATAAGTGGTAATAAAAAATTATAAAGAAAAGGACTTTAATTTAGTTAAAGGAAAATCTTCCATGAATTTACTTTAGTGTCCTTTTGCTTTTTGATACCTTTATTTCTAGTTAATTTACCAGTTGTCTCCCTTTTAATTTTGCAAATTAAACCCTATTCAAAGCATACAAAGTTTATAAACAAATCCATTATCGTATAGCTTATCAACGATTATTAATTATTTTAGCTTTATATAATATTTAAAGATTGATTTTGAGGATTGCTTAAATATTTATGATTGACATATTTTTAGAAATTCAGACAAATAATCATGCATGTAGAATCTAAATACATATTTGCATTTTTAAACAAGAAATACTCATAATTGAATTTTAAAATAAAAAAAAAACATATATAAATTGATTTATTAATTCATGGTGGAGAGAAAAAGTCAGTCGTAGCCATTGCGTAATATGATTATCGTTTAAAAAAAGTTAATATATTTTTTATTTTTTATTTTAAATTAATATTTTTTATATTTTAATATATTAATTTTAAAAATAATTTAAAAAAAATATTATTTTAATATATTTATAAATAAAAAATATTTTAAAAAATAACTAATACCACAATCAGCCATGATGCACCGTGGCTTGGAATACCAGCTAACTACTGCTATGGCACTCACTACGACAATTATGTCAAACACTTAAAAGGATATCACTGTAAAGTATTAAAAAGATAGATGGTGTAAACTGGTGTTTAAGCAATTAAATAATTATAATTAGAGTTATTGGGTGTTTCGGAGTGTGTAAATAATTATTTTTAATAATAATTTTTATTTAACAAAAAAAATTATTTTAAAAAAATTTATTTTTATATTAACATATAAAAATAATTTGATAACATAAAAAATTAAAATTTTCATAAAACATCATTGAAAATGCAATTCAAAAAAGCGTCTCAGTGCATGTCAGTGCATATTTAGTGTTGTGGTTAGTGTTGTGGTGTATAATATTTTTTAAAAGTATTTTTATTTAAAGATTTATAAAAAAAATTATTTTTATATTAATTTATTGAAATTATTTAAAAATATAAAAAAATTATTAATTTAATATTTTTTATAAGATAAATAAATTTTTAAAACAAACTAAAAAAATAGGTGAAAACTTACTGTCATTAATCAAGGGTTTCAAGTCCCACTGCTTAATAACTAATTAATAAGTTTGTTGAGTTTGTTTGAGAGTATAATTATAATTATTTTTTAAATAATTTTTTATATTAAAAAATATATATATTAAGAATTTTTTATTTTTAAAAAAATTATTTTAAATATTAATATATTAAAAATATATTAATTTAAAATAAATAAATAAAATTAATTTTTTTTAAAACGCTGAAACATAGAAATAAACAGGCAGCAGCATCCAAGTTTACCATTTTAAATTCAAACCCCGTCTCTAAGCACAGTGATTACAGCTAAACTTGATGAAGATGGGCGGTCATGATCTTCCCAACATGTATCCCTCTTTAGAAACCCTAGCCAAATCGGTATTCAAGCACTCGGAGAGTTTTCAATTCAACCTGTTCCTTTTTATATTTTTATATTATTTTTAATACGATGATATTAAAAATTAAAAAAATACTATTGTAATATATTTTAAAAAATAATTATAAACACATTTTCAATCACCCCTTACCTGAGTGCTAGGAACGAGTCTATAGCTAATAGACATGGGCTTGCATTATTAACGTTGTGATTTCATTTTGCACACGTTCTTAATTAATTTGTTACTTTGTTGTCTAAACATAACTAAAAAGGTTGCTATTTATTAGGAAGTTTCTAGAACAGAAAAAAGGTTAAATTGAGACCCATCGTTATGGTTGGATCATGTAAGATTTTGTCAAACGTAATTTGACCCCCTTTTCTTCCTCGGAAAAATACATGGATTTTCATGTCACATCACTTAATGTATTGGTGATATATTTAATATTCCTACTTTTTTTTTAAAGAAGAAATTATATATGTAATGAGTCAAGTTCTTGGAATTTTTTTAAAGAAAAATTCGTTAATTAATAAAAAGAAAAGACATATCTTTGATTTTTTTCTTGATAATGTAAAGTAAAATTCTTTCTTTTTATTTTTAATTATATATGAAATATTATATATGTAAAATTCGTAAAATTATATATGTAAAATTCGTTGATATAAAAAAAATTATCGGTGGCTTTTCTTTTGAGTATTCCTCTATTGATAATGTAAAGTTAAATTCTTTCTTTTTATTGTTCAGCTTCGTTAAACTAAATTATATTTTATATAGCTTTGAATTTATTAAATTTCAGTCTAGTCTAGTGAATTGTCTTAACTCCTAATACAATTATAGTATAATTCAAGCCTAGTACAAACTGGTTTAAAGGTTGATTCGGTTAAGTGAGATATAATCAAATCAATTCTAATAAATTCTTTTATTTTTATCAATAACTATATTATTTCATAAAAAAACTAAAATAATATCAATAATGGATTTACCCTATTTTAGATTATCAAACTCCTCCACTCGTTACAAAATCTGAATATAATTAAACGTCCTTCTTTTAATTTTATATCATTGGACAATTTTTTCGGGTTTCATTCATTAATTAATGAGATTTTGCCCGTGAAAGGTATATGGTTCGTGCATGAATTTATTTAAATATTTAATTTATTAACTTATTTTGTAATATTTAGATGAACTTGATTTTTAAACAGAAGAAATAAAATAAAAACCATGCTGCGGAAAGTTGAGGAAAGGCTAGGAAAGTTTTGTTAATTTTTAAAATAATTTTTATTTAAAAATATTTTTTTTATTTTTCAAAAAATATTTTTAATATTAACATATTAAAACAAATTTAAAAATTAATTTAAGATAAAAAATAAAAATAAAAATATTTTCCAAACTAATTCTGAGAAGAGAAAAAAGTGAAAGCAAAACACACTGACGAAGGCTGCTTCTGTACCACGTGGCAAACATCGAGGAGGGTGGGCAAGATAATAGTGGATGCCACCAATCCCAATAGGAGCTGCTTCTAACCATGGATAAGGTTTAGAGCTCCTTTTTAATGCTATATATGTTGAAATATTTTTATTTTTATTTTTATTTTTATTTTTTTACTTTTTTATGCTTGGATTTAAAGGAAAGCCTGAAAAAGAGAGAGAGAACCAGGGCCGTTGCTTGGCGTGGAGGGTTTCATGTATCAGAGATTTTTATTTTTATTTTTTCTTATTTACTTTCATCTTTAAATTTTTTTTTTAAAAAAGCTTGGGTGAAGTATATTGCTGTATTTTATAAGTATTTATTGCATGTATTGGGTCCAACGTACACGTGATAGAGGTAGAGGGAGGTGTCAGGAACCATGTGAGTGCTTGGCTCCTGTCAAAACTCAAAAGCCAAAACTGACGGTGGTCAATGCCACGTGTCGGTCATCCGCGGCATCTTCTCTTTGTTTCGATGGATGCTTCGACCATGCCCATGCATGGTTCTTTTAATAGTTTTACGGTAACGTGATTGCACGTGCCGGACGGTCACGTGAGTTGAGGGTAAGACACGTGTGTTGCTTCCTTCTTGTCACCTGTCACGTGGGAAGGGGGGTCTTTGTAATTTGATTTTCACTGGGATAATTTAAGCATGCATAATCATAATTATTTGAATGATAAAATTACATTCCTCCAATCATGTTTCTTGAAACCTAATATATACATTAGTGTTTAATTAATATTTCAAGACAAAAGAATTGAAAACAAAAAGGATATGTTTATTATAGTTTTTACATAAATTTACCCTAAAATTATTCTAAAACAAATTTATTTGATGTTCATATATATCTTTATTAATCCAATTAAATATGTTTTTTTTTCCTGCTTACCCCTCTTGCTACGAAACATTAACCAAATGCAAGCATTTATTTAAACTTTAATTAATTGGAAGAGCACTTCATGCAACAACGTGCATGTTTGTCTATATATATATATATATATATATATATATATAAAAGATTAAGAAGAAGAAAGTGGCATGAAGTTAAAATTCAAATCTTCCTATATAGATTATTTCAGTCCCTTGTGACTGCTAAGATCCTTACAAGGTCCATTTTCATGAAGCATGTAAGAAATTAATTAATTTAATCGAGTCCGAATTGTGGTTGTTGAATTACTATTTTTTTTCCTTTATATTTAATCAATATAATATATACGAACACATGCGCACGCACCATGTTATAAATATAGAGTGGCTAATCTAGGGAGATGCTCGGTTTAGTTGGACTTTATTCAAAACTATAAGCTGGCTATGATAAATAAAATCAATGTATTCAGTAGCTAGTTTGGCTCATCTACAGTGGTATATAATCTTTCTAATTAATTATTTTTTTGGAGCTAGAACTAGCTAGTAGGCTCGCTAAGTTTAAAACTAGCTATGCATCTAGCTCATTACTTTACAGTTGTACATCCGATGGAGTTACTCTTCCATTAATCTTATAATAAAATGTTTTACCTAGAGATAAAATCAGAATAAAAAATTCTTAATTTTAAACAACAGTTTTAAAAATCGACAAATTAATGAAAGGATGAAGTAAAGGGGAGGGACTAGAGAAATTACGGACCTAATTTGCTGTGCAAGCAAGGAACATATACATTTGAAATCTGTCAAGCCTCCATAGGCACAGTTGTGGTGGAGAGAGCCTAGGTAAAGGTGAAAATCTGAGAAAAGTTGTGTGATCACTTGCATTATTAATCGCAAATTCCCACCTTTCTAAAGTCTCGAAGTAAAGTGCCATGGCAGCTCGATGAGCACCACCATGAGGCCACAATCTTTATCAATACGTCACTTTCCCTAATACCAAGTAATAATTAACAATAATTAAACTTAGAGAATCTAATTTTTCTATCTGCAATACCCATAAAAAAGAATGATGGTTTCTTGTAGGATTTCTCTCTTTATCACGCAAGAAAGAAGAAGAGGGAATGGGCTAATTAAATTTC